TCGGTTTGGGTGTACCGTCGTCCGAGGACAGAAGGAGAGGCACATCAAGAGTCCGGACCCAGTCCCCCGGATCGGCGGTCTCCGCGGCCAGTGCCCCAGCGGCCATTCCCCGCGGCAAGCCCGGTGGCCCGATCGAAAAGCTCAATGCCATCGCCGACGACTTTACCAACCAATGGCTACCCCGCTGTCTCGATTTCGCGGCCAGTCCTCCCAGGGATGTCAAGAAACGCGAGGACGAGCACCGCAAACTTTCCGAGACCGTTCTGCAGAAGGTCCTGCTGAAGCTGGACGCGATCGACACGTCGACAGAAGAAGGTGCGCGGGCGAGGAGAAAACAGCTCGTGAATGATGTGCAGAGCTGTTTGAGCAAGATTGATGCGGCCGCAAAGAGTTCGACGTAACGCGCGTCAGGAACCCGGTCCTACTTCTGTACCCTACGTTTCTCAGACATGCTGTTTGGCGTCTCCGGCATAATGATCTCCTCTAATCTTGGCCTTTCCGCTCTGTTGTCTGTTTCATTTATGAGTACAATGCATGGCGAGGGTTTGTGTGGGGTTTCTTCGAGGTTCATGTCCGTATCCAGGCACTTCATCTCCATGAATGCGAAACATTGGGAGTCGGTTCGGCTGCTGTTTGGCTCGGCGTGACAATGCTGTTCAGGGTACTTCCTCTAGCAGGAATATGGTGCATTCAACGTAACTCGGTATGATGTTTATCATGATGAAGACGTTCATGCCCGAATTTATGAAGCCACCAGCAAGAATAGGCGCCAGTTTAGCATGATTGACTGCCCGAAGATGTCCAAGGTCACACTCATTTGCCCAAAGGGGAAGATGGACGTGAAAGAGAGGTTTGCCGGGACTTCGCCTGCCGCCAGACAGCTGGTGGGTCTGGGGAAGAAACGGGTCCCTCGTGCCCCGCCTGTCCGGGCACGGTAGGTCTAACCCTATCTCTTTGTGCCTCAGGCAGCAATCAGCACTCGCTTGCAGACCTCCACCCGATCCTTATCGGGCCTAGCGCATTTCTGCTGGGTTGACTGCACCAAGGCCAATTTTCAGCACACACAAAAAAGTCGAAGAACGACCATCAACCATCACAAGGGTAAGGAAGCAGCCAGCTGCTACTCGATCAGCCGGAGTGTGACTGATCAACCTGTTCTTTTCTTTCATTTAGCCCAGGTCACCACGGCAAAATGTCTTCGTTCGAGTCTGTGGTATGTTCGCTCTCTCTTCCCCCAATTGATGCACCTTGCAAGCTGCGCGAGCGCTGGCCGCCCCGAGATCGCGATACAACAACGGGAACACATCACGGCACGAAAGGCGACTGGGCGACGGCATGGCTGGGGGGCGGTGCGAGAGTCGGGAGAGCAGGAGTGCTGACAAGCGTCTGCAACAGGTCGTGATCGATGGCAAGGGCCACCTGCTTGGCCGCCTGGCCAGCATCGTCGCCAAGCAGCTGCTCAACGGCCAGAAGATCGTCGTTGTCCGCTGCGAGGCTCTCAACATCTCCGGCGAGTTCTTCCGCGCGAAGCGTACGTACCACATTTCATCACTCGAATTCGGACGGGCACTCGGGGCGTCGCATGTGGTGAAGGGATCGGGATAGCACCACGGGGATTGGAGACCCGGATGCTCGGAGATGGGGGACTTGAAGAGGAAGCCCACGAGGAACAGGAAGCTGACAGTCGGACACAGTCAAGTACCACGCCTACCTTCGCAAGATGACCCGGTACAACCCCACCCGCGGTGGTGAGTCGAACTTCCACGATCGATGATTCCACGGCCTCGCGATTCTGACTGCCCACAGGTCCCTTCCCATTCCGCGCCCCCTCCCGGATCTTCTACAAGGCCGTCCGTGGCATGATCCCCCACAAGACCGCCCGCGGTGCCGCCGCCCTTGAGCGCCTCAAGGTCTTCGAGGGTGTCCCTCCCCCGTACGACAAGAAGAAGAAGATGGTTGTTCCCCAGGCCCTCCGTGTCCTGCGCCTGCAGCCCGGCCGCAAGTACTGCACCGTCGGCCGTCTCAGCCACGAGGTCGGCTGGAAGTACCAGGACGTTGTCGAGAGGTGCGTACCTGAGGGATATCAGGGATCTTCCTCCCGCAAATGGAAAGGGATGGCGATGCTGACATCATTCGCAGGCTCGAGGAGAGGCGCAAGGCGAAGGGCGCGGCCTACTACGAGCGCAAGAAGCTGGCCGCGAGACAGCTCTCCGAGGCGAAGAAGACGGCGAAGGTCGACACGAAGACGACGGAGGCCCTCCAGGCCTTCGGCTACTAGAGATAGTGGCCAACTCGCACACCTCCTTGTCCTTTATGCGATTTCACTCTAGATTGGCGCGGTGGTTCAGGGCATCAACTTCATTTGCGTGGATGGTGGGGATAGGCAATGGCTATCTGACTCACTGTGCGTCCCAGGCTTGGGACCTCATAAATACATGAGATCAACCAATGGAGACCGAGGTTGCATGGGATGAAGAAAGCACAAAACAAAATACCCGGCTCTGGCGGAGAGGCTTCGTGATGTTGTTGGGCAGAGGCGCTGTTAAATCAGGCCTCTCGAGATGACGCCCGAATGCCTTGGTCAGCGCCCCGCTCATGCTGAATAAACGACCATAATCTGTACTGGCGCCAGTTTAGCTGTGAATGCAAAGGGATGGGCTCTGGTGGGCCGGTGATGGATCAACTCGAGTCTTTTGCTGACGTGATTTGGAGAGCTTGCTTCCTGTTTGAACGCCACAGAAAGCACACTGTATGTACATGACTTCGTCTGGCCAGCGCTCATACTCGGCTCCTGGAGATGTCAGGCTCAAAGTAGTGGAAGGTCAACAAACGGACATCAAGCCAAAGGTGGATAAGATGACGTATTCAGGGGAATGTCTTCGGCAGCAGACAGTGGACTCGATCTTATGACTACGTAAGGTAACCGGACGGTGTGCGAGGATCGTAAGATGTACGCACATCAAGAGACTCGGCCTCAAAAGGCGGCAGAGCAACCCTAGGCAATCCTCCAGTGCCAGGTTTTGAGTCGGGTAATAGCCGTTAATCGTGTCAGCGACATACCATAGCCATTGCCGTCTTGTTGATGGAAGGGTGTATGCCCACACCGCAGGTGGAAGAGTTACTCCTGTCGAGGTGCTTGGCAATCCTTTCTGCAGTTGACTGCGTCCGATGAGCTGAATCATTGATCGTTGCGAGTGACCTTGGAGTATTGGGGATCGTGTGGCGTTGATCCTGAAAGTGAGCGGGGTGGAAGGCATCATGTGTATGTGTATATCCTTCAGGATGCACCCTAAACCCTCTCCTTGTGTCGAGATTCATGTTGTTAAAGTCTTGACTCTCCTCATAATTGGCAGGTCCACGGTTTCATGTCTCCAGCACGGCCTTGGTTGTTGAGGTGTATCTCAACGAGCAAGGAACCTAGTTACATACTGCGGTTTTTCCAGGCTTGCTATCGGCAATGGATGTAAAAGCGCACCAGCTTTCGCAAAGAGTTAATGTGAATGTTTTTCTCAAGGCAGTTCCGCGTCAAATGATGTACTCCAAACGCTCTGGTAGCATGGAGAGATTGCAATCGAAGATATTATCTTTGGTGTGGGTGATTGTTTCTGGTGGCATGATATATATACTGAATCGAGATGCTGGAACGCTGGAGGAAAAGATGAGGTTGTGACAACGTCGTGGATGTCGCCAAGCTCAGTGAACCAGACTCAAGCTTGGGAAACCGGTTATCACAGACACCAGGACACGCTATTGTGTCTGTAAGTACCAAGGCAAATGGTACACGATGGAATAAATCACGGATGGTAATTGCTCTTGGCTGACTGAGGGTGGAAAATACCGAACCCTCACTCCCGGAAGCCAAACAACATTGGACTTTCTCTAAAAGAGAGTCAAACTATCCGTTGGATGGGTTTTCTTCAAGACTCGGCGTTCAAATTGCGTTAGTATATGCCATTAGTCGTTACTTTGACCGCCACTGCCCGTTTGCGCGGATTTGAGTTTGAGAAACACCTCAACACCAAGCGTATCCGCTTACTTGTCTGGTAGGAAGGGTGAAGCTTTGGGTTTCTGAGCTTCGTAACATCCAAGAGAGCAGACTTAAGCTCCATGGTTCGGTTTCGTCACTTCTTTCCATTCATTGGATTCAATTTGAAAAGAATCTCTCGGTTCTAAGATTTTTCATCTCTTCATAAAACGTTCGTTTTGGAAGTATCAAGTTTAAGAATAAAAGTATCTGTGGGGTTTGCCAATGTATTGTCTGTTTCTTAACTGGATGTTGTGAGATACACTTCACACCCGGTTTCGTTTGGACACAATGTCAATGTTCAAATACATTTTTCCGAATATGTGGTGATTTCCAGCCTGAGTAGGCTTTTTGTGGCGGATGTTATTCTTTCGGGGTTACTTTTACACAGCATCCAAATAAACTTACAAAGACTCTGGAATGCATAGCTCGCAATTGACTCGCTTGGTCGGTAGAGATTTGGCGCACGAGGTGCTGTCAACCACGGAGCCCATGTATATCAAAAAGTCATGCATTCACTTCTGTTGACGGAGTTGATGATGAACAGGAGGCTCAAAAGTCGTACGACCATCTATCATAAAAATGAGACCCAACGGTGATCTGTGAGAGTACGCACTAGGGAAACTCCCTCATCTCGTAGCACAAATCTGCCGCATCACTTCAGTATTTCAAGCGTCATCGAGAAATATGTTACTCAAACCCCGGAACTGACCAAGGAGAAAACAGAGGTATGATGAGCAGCACGATGCAGCCCTTGACGGCCCACCAAGAAATCATGTCATGTCATTTGTCACTTTAATCAGGCTTAAATCAGAACTTGTAATTGAAGCCACAAACGCTTGCAACACGCCTTCAAACCGTAATGTACCAGATGTTGGTGGGTTCTGGAGCTGGCTCAAGGCTGGACGACAACCCTAACCCGACTGCCTTCCGAACATAGGTCGCAAAATGGCGTCTCTGTCTTCAACGAATCAAAGGGAGCTTGGCTCAGTTGGAAGAGCGCAGGTCTCATACGAAAGTGTGATCCGGTGTCAAATCGGGATATCCTGAGGTCGTGAGTTCGAGCCTCACAGTTCCCATTTCCTTTTGCGTCGTTTTCCAGTATTTTTGATCTCGTCACGATGTGAACGAGTTTACTTTTTCCTTACCTTGCATCTGGGAGCAGGTACAACCGGGATTGGAAAGGTTATCGGAGATCTTCACCTTGCTCCTTGATCTTTCAAGGATCATCACTCAGGTCCAAACAGGCATCAGCAACGGGGACTTTCTGCATCGCAAACATCGCTTATCTATTTGCATTCTCCCCCCCCCCCCCCCACCCCACCCCTCACCCAGCTACGTCTCGTCATACACACACATTACAGATACAAGCCCTCCGGTTCGCCCTCCTGCTTCGTGCGCAGCACCCGCTCGCGGGCGGCGCGGAAGTCGGCCATCTGCACGCGCATGCGGCGCTCACGGAGAGCCATGAGACCGGCCTCGGAGCAGATGGCCTTGATGTCGGCGCCCGACAGGTCATCCTTCTGGGCGATGAATTCCTCCAGGTCGACGTCCTCGTTGAGGGACATCTTGCTCGTGTGCAGCGTGAAGATCTTGCGCTTGGTGTTCTGGTCGGGATTCTCGAACAGGATCTTGCGGTCGATACGGCCGGGCCGGATGAGGGCAGGATCGAGCGTCTCGATCTTGTTGGTGGCCATGATGACCTTGACGTCGCCGCGGTCATCAAAACCGTCGAGCTGGTTGAGAAGTTCCAGCATGGTCCGTTGCACTTCACGCTCGCCACCGGATGTGGAATCGTAACGCTTGGTACCGATGGCGTCAATTTCGTCGATGAACACGATCGAAGGAGCGTTCTCGGCGGCGACCTGTGGTGGATTAGTAAAGATTCAGTTTGCTTCAATGTTCGATGATGGAGTTTACCTGGAACAACTGGCGAACCAAGCGGGGGCCGTCACCAAGGTACTTCTGGATCAGCTCGCTACCGACAATGCGCAGGAAAGTCGCAGAAGTCTGGTTGGCCACGGCCTTGGCCAGAAGAGTCTTTCCGGTACCCGGTGCGCCGTAGAGAATGACGCCCTTGGGCGGCTTGATACCCATCTCCTCGTACAGCTCGGGATGCAGCAGCGGCAACTCGACTGACTCGCGCACCTCCTGAATCTGTTGTTCCAGACCGCCAATATCCGCGTACGACTCTGTCGGCGCCTTGTCGAGCTTCATGACGCTCACAAGAGGATCTGTATCGTCTGTGAGCACACCGACAATGCTGACTGTCTTGTGATGCAACAGCACGCTGGCGCCGGGCTCCAGCAGGTCCTTGTCCACGAAGCTCATGATGCTGACGTAGTACTCGGGGCCCGTCGTGCTAGAAACAATGGCGTGGTCGTCGTCGATCATCTCCTCGAGCGTGCCGACCCCCATGGGGCTGCCTCGCATGTCGTCGACACGGCTGCGCTCGTCGGCCATCCGGTCGGTAGACTCCATCTCGGAAGTGGGGGCTGTGTCGTCCTTGACCGCCTTCGCCTTCCGAAGGCGCTCCTGGTTCTCGACATATTCTTCCTCGAGCAGCAGGTGGTCGTGGATGCGCTGCATGCGCAGCAACCGGAGCTTGCATCGGCTGGTCGGGTAGACGGGAGGCATCTTTGCGGCGGCGCTGGTGCCGCCAGCCTTCTTCTTCTTGCGGCCGATGCGCGTGGTAGGTCTCGGAGGAGGCTCATACTTGGGCTTGTCTTTCTGTTGCGGCGACCGTTGTCAGCCATGTCACCGGTGGAGGAGCTGGCGATGGGGTGCAGGGAGTTGATGCCCATCGCCGTCATCGGAAAGCCAAACCTTCTTGTCCTTCTCATCACGACCATCCTTTCCTCCGCCCCCGCCCATGCCTGATTGACCCTGGCCCTGCAGAACTTGTCAGAATGCGCTCGGCGACCACTTCTCCAAACAGCCGTACCATGGTGCCGGTGTTCTACTCCGGATGGAGCGATCCGGTTGATTGTCGCTTTGACAAAAGTAACTCTATCGGGGCCAAAAGCAGTGATGTGCAGACCCAAGATGAGATGCGATTCCGCGGCAGGCGATGTGTGATGTCAAAGTCGACGGGTTTGTTGGGAGTTGTTCTGAGGTGTGATGCAGCAGCCAGTTGGAAGCTTGCGGCGAGCTTCGTTGGCAGCCGCCCAGGCGGCAGGACGACGCGCCAACTGACGCACGGGCCACCTTCACAAGGGAGCCAAGGGAGCCTGCACGCACTGGGCGGGACTGTGGACCTGAGCTCGGGCTGAGCTTGGATGCGGCAAACGGCCAGTCCATCTCCATCAAATGACAAGAGCTCCTCATCCCAAGCACGCCTCCACTCGTCGTCGGAGCGGGCGATCGCGCGGAGGGCTGCATGATGCTCAGGCTCTCCTCTTTGCAATATTGCAGAGGAGCTGAGGCCCGAAGCGCCCAGCCTAGTGCAGAGGACCAAGGTCAGCCCGCAAGGTGCATTTGACGCTGAAAGCCTGGACCCGGAACTCGGATGATGATCACGGCGACTCACGATTGAAAGAAATCGGCCGTCTGCCCAACACCTTTTCCGACACTCGGGGCCCTGCCTTCATTACGTAGGAGTTTTAGATGTTCCCAGTGCCCCATTCACCTCCGTCCTCCATACGTTATTCTCAGGCTTCGCTCGTTGCCACACGTCTGTCTCGCCGACACTTGGTCTTTATTTTAGCCCTTTCCGTTTCCACCGTCTTACCCCTCCACGCATTTCAGCGGCTGCAGTCTCCGCCCGCCTGCCCACTTGCTGTTGCTGCTGCTGCTGCTGTCTTGTCTCAGAGCCGCAACCTTGCCCACTTGACGTGAAGCCGTACCCACCACCAACGACCAGCAATCCGACCCTCGCCCTTGGAACATCGCCGACCATGGCCTCCACTCGCGAGCGCCGGATTGCAAAGGAGCTGGCCGACATTTACAACGACAAGGATGCTTCGGGGGTCGTCGCAAACCCCGTCGACCCCGCCAACCTCACCCATCTCAAGGGCACCTTTCCAGGGCCGCCCGACACCCCCTACGCCGGGGGTACTTTCCAGATCGACATTGTCATTCCGGACATGTACCCGTTCAAGTCGCCCGCCATGAAGTTTGACACCAAGATCTGGCATCCAAACGTCAGCAGTGTGACGGTATGTTCGTTGCGCGGGGAGAGGCTGCACTGTCTCTCGGACCGAACCCGAGGCGTTCCTAGGACCTGGTGCTCGAAACACGACCATGATGATCTGAGCTAACCACCCAACCTTTTTTTGCTTCTCTACCAGGGCGCTATTTGCCTCGACACCCTCGGCTCCGGCTGGTCGCCCGTGGGCACCATCAAGATGGCGCTCATCTCGCTGCGCATGCTCCTCGAGTCGCCGAACCCCAAGGACCCGCAAGACGCCGAGGTCGCGAAGATGATGATGGAGCAGCCCAACGAGTTCGCCGCCAAGGCGCACGACTGGGCCGTCAAGTACGCCGGCGCTCCGCGCCGGGAAACACTCACCCACAACTACGGGAAGACGGCCACGCCCGTGGTCAAGAATGACCCTTCGAGGTATGCTTTTCTGGACTGGATGGATATCGTGGCGCGGCGAAACGAAACTGACTGGTTGTTTCTCGTCCGACCTACAGGTACAAGGGCTACAACAAGGATCTCGTCGACCGGTTCGTTAACATGGGCTTCGACGTGGATGCCGTGGTTGACGCCTTCGTCTTTGTGGGTATCGACCGCAACGGGGGAGAGGACTACGAGCTGGAGGAAGCATATATGGGTGATATCACCGCTCGGCTGCTCGGGGAACAGTAAAGCAATCTCGTTGCACTCACTCCCGACGGGCCGACTCGAGTATTCAGGGAATCGAGCACGGTTTACGTTTCTACACTCCACTTGGGGAATCACTCGGCAGTGACTGGTGGAAAGCGGGGGGAACCAGCTGGGTCGAGGGCGTCACAGCCGGATCCGGCCCCGGAGAACCCCCCTATCATGTCCCTATAAGCATCAGGAAAGGAGTTTATGGACGGGGGACCTCAGGCGAACTGTTCTATGGGATTTGCAGTTTCTTCTCTTTGCTCATTTTAGATCCTACCAAGAATGCAAGGCATTGGTTTGACCATATAGCTATGGTTGCTCACAGACACCAGCCAGCAGATTGTTCCAGTATCTTTACAGTATCTGGCGTTGTTCACGGTCATGTTCGAGCCCAACACAGGGGTCGTGTTGGCAGCAACCTCTCTTCAATGAAATTTGCTGAGCCCTCCTGGGCCGATGCATGCCCAACGTCAGCGTCTGGCCAACAAGATGAGCTTGCTTTCATGTTGGAACTGGGTTACGAGCAAGTTGCGCTTTCTTGGAAAGACGGACGGGAATGTGCATGCAGCCTCTACTTCGACCCTCGGCCACTCTGGCCAACACCGATCGTTGGCTTAAGTCAGGGGATCTGTTTGCTGTGTTCACCGGGGCCACAAAATTGGCACACCCAAGAGGCGGTAACTGTCTTATGGCAGAATTGACAAGGACCAAGGGTTGATCACCGCTTTGATAGAGACACAATCCAACAAGGGGCTCATAATGCACAAGATATTATGCCATACCGCCAATCCACCGTCTATAAAGTTTGATATGCTTCAGGCCTCTCCAGCTCACTCAGCCGCCCTACTCTCACACTCCCCTCGCCTCCTCCCAAACCGCAATCACTCGCAGTCAACAAATGAAAGGATCAACATGTACAAGGCCGGCACCCGGATAGTATTACCGTGCTAGAGTGCCGATTTTAGAGGAGATCCCGGCGGACGAACTCGTCACGGAGGGCCTTGCCCAGGCCGGCGGGCGAGCGCTCAACGATGACGCCAGCGGACTCGAGGGCCTTGATCTTGGAGTCAGCACCGCCCTTGCCGCCGGAGACGATGGCACCGGCGTGGCCCATGCGGCGGCCGGGGGGCGCCGAGATACCGGCGATGAAGGACACGACGGGCTTGCCGCCGTTAACGGTGTTGTGCTGGCGGATGAAGTCGGCGGCATCCTCCTCGGCGGAACCACCAATCTCGCCAATCATGATGATGCCGTCGGTCTCCT